AAACAAAATATACTAAGTTCAAAATAACTCCATAGCGTTATCACAAATACACGATAATTAAGAAATTGATTCTTTAGCTAATACACTGCAACAGAAGGGATTTTGCATGCACATTTCAGTTTCTTTGCCAGTTTCTTTGTCTTTAAGATACTATAGAGAACTGAGTGCAAAAAGTCAAAGCTTTCAACTCATTGCTATTACATAGCAACCACTTATTAAAACTCTGAATTTTAGAGAAGGAGCTAGCAATACCAAACATTTATGTATCCTAAAGCTCTTTATCACTGCATCCTCAACGTAAACAATCACTGCTCCAATAGTTCTTAAACTCACGTTCTTTCAACACAGAAAAAGTCTATGCATAGTTTTCCTTTATCAGTTTATATAAAACATGGACAATGACCTACAAGCTTGGTTATAATATAGTTCTCAGAGTATTAACAAGTTTAAATCTGCCTCACATTCATCTGCATTCATAAAGAATAAAAAAATAATCAAACTTAAATTTTAAGTGAAGTAAATAATCATGCCAATCACTGGGAACGTTTCTTTTATGTTCTAGTCAGTAAATTGCTCCAAGTAGCCCTCCTAAGAGACATGAGAAAATTCAGGAAATGATTGAAGTCGTCTCTTAAATTAACAGTTTATAATTTACAGAAAATATATATATATAAAGGATATGAATATATACATATGAGGGATATGAATTTGCATGAAAGCCTCACAGAGAAACAAGTTCATGAGAGCAGGGATGTCTGCATTGAAGTGTCTGTAAGCAACTGAAGGAAAATATGCAAAACCGAGCAAGTATCTTTTAAAGATCAGGCTGTAATGGCAAAACTCAACCTCAGTTAAAATAAATCTGTTCCTCTGCTTATCTATTTGTGTGCATTTGCCTCTGAATAGAGACTGTGATGACAGTCCAAGGGTGTCTGAAATAGTTTCACTCTTTGCCTTTTCCTTTCTCTCTACCAACAGGCATCAGTGTGCTCTTCCAGGAAGCTGCACATCATATTCCAGAGTTTGCAAGGCAGAAATGTTGCTTTGAGGAAAAGAAACATTCCAAGGCTGCACACTACCATATTCTTGGCGTGAAGCTGCTGAGAGTACCCTTCTGCCTCAGACATCTCTATTAAGTAACAAATGTCAACCGTAAAAGAAGCTGAGGATTTCTAACACATCACGTTTACGGCACAGGTTTGATCTATAAAGGACATTTCTTGGATAAAGAAACTGCTTTTCACCACTTTTTCACAAACAGCTCTAAATTGCTGAAAGCCATTGCCTACAAAAAGCACAAACCCTTAAAAATTGAAAACTCTGAGTAACTGTCCCCAGATTATTTCTAGATGCAAAAGCAGAGGGGAAGAGAAAGTGCAAGTTCAAATTTCCTTCAAGTTTATAAACACACGTGCTAAAGGCACATCCTCACTCTTTTCTTCAAGATGCAAGGAGAAAACCAAAAACACAACAAAAGACCCAGAGAAACTGCTCACATTACATGAGTTTCCAACAGAACACGGCAGAACACTCCTCTAGAATGCCAAATAAACTGATGGATACTCTGAACAGAAGAGGGAAAAGAAAGCAAGGCTCACTGTGCACAAAGAGCTGTTTCAGAGCGTTAGGAATTCTAACACAATTTTGCATTTGCACTTTCCTGCCCTGTTCTCTGGACACACGTGGATCAGCTAGTTTTGTCCTAGACATATTTAGTCACTCATTAGAATAAATGTTTATGCCTTTTTCCTTTTATGAAGGGAGCACAATGATATTACGTACGCTGAGCTACCTGATAACTGCACACTTGGTCCAAACTTTACATTTTAGCTCCCTCTTCTGGAAATACATAAAAAAACCCCAAACCAACCAAAACCAAGTAGCACCACAAAAGGGCACCTTCCTCCTGTTAAATGCTGAATGCGATGTGCAGTTGCGGTTTGTGGCACATGGTTTCCCCCACTTCACATGAACACAATTGAGGATGACCACCACAATACAAAAAAATCCCACCTACTGCATACAAAGCCATGCTACATACAAAGACCAGATGAGTTTTCGTTTGTTAAGATAAAAAGCTCAATTTATACAGTGCTTTTTGGAGCTGCTGTTACAGTATCTGCCTGATCACATTACTAAAGTCAGACACTTTTTGACAGATGAGGAGTAAAACCAATAGTATTAACTGATCTAGTTACGATCTATCAACCATGCTGTTCGTGTACGAAAAGAAAAAAAAATTCTATGAATATATAAAAATTCCCCCAGGAGTCTATTCAGCATTTTCTTACAAGAACATTATGCTGAGGCCTTAGATCAGAATTATATGCTGAGCAACGCTGGGTAATTTCAACTAAGTTGCAGCTAAATGTGAACAGGAATCATATTCAACTCAAAGTGGAATTTGCTAGTAGTGACATCTATTTAATAGCAAATAAACTTTTCATTTAGGTAAAAAAATAAATAAATGGCTCCAAACATGGCAGTAACACATACTGCCACTATAAAAGGCAGTCTGCATCACCTCTGAACAATTGGAGAATATACAATACTAGGATGTATAGAAACAAAGATGAAGATTTTATCTGGACTTTACCCACACATTACACTGTTCTCGAGCTGGCACCTTGAAGTCAGAAGTCTGCAGATTAAGAACACTAGATTATGAACACTTACTTGTGCTCATGCAGAAAACACTCAAACACCTCCAAACACCTATCTATCCCACCTCAGTACCATTTGCTAATTCTGTTCTTTTCCAAACAGGGATTTATTTTTTTTTAATCTCAGAGTTAGACACAGCATGAATTTATTGCAAGGTACAATTTTACTTCATTGCTAGGAAAGGAAGAATTCTTAAGGTCTCAATTGTGTTTTTCACCACCGTTAATATTCCCTGAAAGAACCAATCCCAGAGACTGTAAATTCTGTCTGTTCTTTGCAGTTATTTTGGAATCTGCAACTCTGCAAATACAATTAATACTGTTTTCTCCTCCTATATTTGCACCTTCAAGTTTCTGAAGTGTTTTTGAAGTGATGCTGAATTTCAAGCAGTACCAAGAAATCCTTCTTTAGCTTCTACAAAACAGGTAGAATTGCTCTGTCTGGCAGTTCTGTTGATTCATCCTCTAACCATTACATTTATTAGTTTTATGAAGTTCATGGGAAACCCACCACATCACCTGCCCAAAAACAGCAACACGAAATAAAGCAGCGTGAACACACGCAGTTATTCTTATGTGAAATTATGAATCCACAGGAACAGATCTGTTCTCACCTCAGGAAAACACAATTTCTTCCGGAGTGTGTAGTAAGAAGTTCATATAACTGGGAAGATAATGAGACTTTGTCTTTCTTCCGAAGTCCTTATAAAAGGACTTCATGTGAATGGTATAAAATGATTCGTAAAGAGTTTGAGAAGTTCTAAGTAACAGTATTTTCCTTACCGCTCCTAAGAACAAAGTACACACAGGAAAGAAGAAATCTGAATTTCTAGTAGCCAAACACTGAGGCTGCACCATTCCCTTAAAGCGCTTAATGTTTTACAAAGTGAAATATTCTAAGCTTTTACAGTTTTTGCATGCTTAATGTAGATCTGCTTTTCAATTTTTTTCCTTCTGCCAAACTCCATCTGCTGGTCGGAACCAGAATTAGCTGGGACATCATTTAAATTGTGTTCCTTCACTATTCCTTCACACGTCCTTACGCTATTCTTTTCTGCAAAAGGAGAAATATGTTGAAGCACTGATTTCTGCTGTAAGAACACCTCCTGTGCTCTCTCTTACCCCTTTTTGTCTCATAAATATTCTCTCACACTTACATAGGAAAAGTAACATTTTAAAATAAATGTGAAATATTTGTAATTCAGACACACATAACTAAAAGTAATGGCAAAAGAAATGCATAATAGAAGCGAGACAGGAACATAAAATGAACTAGACCTCAGTTACTGCTCTTGCCAAGGTCCATGCCTCTTCTACTCAAATTTATATAAATACCAAGGGACTACCAGATCTCCTACATACTTGGAGCACTCTGCTTATTTTCCACAGCGTAGGAACTCACGAGACTCAATCAAATAACCCGCTCAGCTTCCTTAGGGCAAGGAGTGGAAAAACAGGACCAATGTTCCATGTCAATCCTCCCATTCCATCTTGAAGTCTCTCTTCCCTAAAATGATGCCCAACTAACAGAGACATCTTTCTGAGAAACAAACAAGTAAAAGGGAACATAAGAACACAAAGTAACTTGCAAGAGCTCTGCAGAACCACTGCTGAGAAACAAGGGAAGTAGCGACACCACACTCTGGCTTCAGAAGCTTGGTTCTATGGACAAAGCGTACGTCTGTCTACACGTTATACCAACAACATATGCTATGCCGGACCACAGACAGTTTCTTATTTTTCTGTACCTGTAACACAGAAGAAACAAAATACTGACACATAAGCGCTCTCTCTCATACCATGAGATTTTCCAGTGTCTCCGAGCAAGTATTACTTCCAGGAACAGTGGCTTGAAAAGCCAAGAAGAGTCAACCATATGGCTAACCTTTACCAGCAAAAAGTCCTGAAATGCTAAAAAACTATTTCAACGCTTAAATCAACACTTCAGTCTGCCTTGTGTATCTTGGGCACACGATGGTAACGGTGCTTCACTAGGCAATACTGGCTCCTAAAAGTTTAGTAGAAAGGTCTTCCTACTTTCCCTGTACCTGAATTTTAAGAGTGAAGACCACAGTCTTCTTTCTACAGCAACAAGTAAAAGCATCCTCAACATAACTATAATTTGCACTTCAATAAGCGCCATTATATTAGTATTTCTGATATTTGCACAAGTTTAGAAAGCCTCCCACAGGCTGAAAGGCACCTTGAAGAAAGAAAAAGCATTTCTGCATGAAAAGCAAGGTATTACGACTGTTGCAGAGAGACAAGACAATAGAGCAGAAACGTTTTCAACATCAGCGGCAGTCAAAGAAATAATTTACACTTTAAGAAGCTTACCTTTGTTGAAAGCACTTTAAATGTACTTTGCTCTGGCACTACAGAATGAAGAAGAACAAGCTTTAAGTTGTAGTCTTCACCTGATGGAAGTCTCACGGATGCATTCATCTGTTAACAGTTGAAAACACATCTCTGGTCACCTCTGAGAACAGTTTTCCATTTCCAAGTAAAGGACTGTCATTTGGCACCAAGATTAAGTGATTAAATTAATGACCCTTCACTAGGGCACTTAAAGCATCAGGTGTCAGAATTTCAGACAACGCCATTACATTATTGCATTATTGAACAAGGTGTTTCTAAAGTATACCAGAAAATGAACAGGAGATTTCAATTCTTAGCCAGTAAGTACTCAAAAAGGCTATTATCTTGTCAGCTTGATCTACATTTCTTGAGGAAAGAATTATATGCCAAACGAAGTACCAACACATTAATAATGGAACATGAAAACAACTTGCAACTTCTCATACACAGAAACCACAGGCCAAGCGCTCGCACAATTTTAACCACCTAAAGCAAATAGTAACAATCAAGTACTTCTGGTAGCTCATAAAGTATCAACTTAGTTCAGAGTAAGAACCTAACTCTTCAGTATTCTCAGCTAAATTAAACATAATGTCACCTGTACCACAAACGGCATCACAACAAAGGGATTACCGCACTTCCTTGAAATATATACTTTGCTGCCATTAACAATTGTAGTGACACCAAAAGCAAGAAAAAAAAAACAAACCAACATTCATTCTTTTTCTATAATTGCCCTAAAGCAAGATATTGCTCATTCATACCTATTTTTACAACAGCTTGTCTGTCCTTATGCCAGATATAGGCATATGCAAACATCTGAAGTCCAGACCACTTCTACCCCTGCCCATCTAAACACACAGGCAGCTGTGTACAGGTGTACATGCATTAAAAAAGCTCAGAACAAAGACCACCTGTACCACTCCTTTCATGCAACTGCAGCAGATAATGTTCACTGTTTTAATTAATACATCTTCAGGAATCCAGGGATGGGGATCAATAACCAATACAAATCACCTCTTTCTCTGAGAACTGCACGCTGACATCATCCTTCTGTGCATTCTTGATCATTATAGTCACAATTACTTGAGATTCCGTTTGGTACCAGTCGTATCTTTAAAAATAAAAATACATATATATATTTTTAAAATAGAGAGGAAAAACTGACTGCAAAGAGATATATAGAAGAGCATCAAAAGCTGAAGCAGTACATTGTTTGGTTTCATAGGGGAGAGAAGACACGCAGAACTAGATTTCTTCTCCCTCCCCTAAAAGGGCAGCTGCAGAACCGATAAGGTAAGTGGTTAAAGAAAAAAGATTCTTTTTTAACCAAGCAGCATAAAAAAAGAATCAAGTCACTTCCTTAACTGATTCATAATATTGTTTGCCTTCTACAGATTAAAAGGCACTTCTTAGTTCAGGATCTTAAAGTATTTCAAAAACATTGCCTACACTAGGCACAGTGAGGCAGTCTGAAATAAGCTCAGCATGAGCATTAGAAGCAGAACACTTACTCCATTCCTCACTCTCCCAGTGAGGCATAACGTCCTCAAAGTACAATTCATTCTGAACAAAAAACCGACCACACTGAGAAACACTTCATTTAAACTGCCACGTTTTTAAAGTTACCCAAAAAAAGAATTTCTACAGTCATTGTCTTCCTTCCCCAATCCTCGAGTCAAAGAACAGTTACGTATTAATCATTTTAATTCTCACAGTAAAGATAAAGTTGACTTACTTGATCTTTGGTGGCAGAGGTTGCTGCTGTGTGTTCTAGTTGAAGCATATTCCATTGGAAAGAAAAGTTACATCAGTGTAAGTAAAAATATACAGTGAAGTCCTTTTCAAAGATACAAATCATTTTTATACTGACAGCTCCCCTGTTCCTGATTTATGTATGAGCATTAACTTACAGGTGAAGCTCCTGACTGTTCTGTTTGCCATTTATGCCACGTTAAGAATTAAAAAGCTTCAATTTAGATGAAATATGTCAGTCTGTAACTTAGAACATAGTGTTCAGATATTTTATATACAGCAGTAAGTTCAGCTTTAACTCATTTTCTTCCTAGGTAAGAAGTAGACATCGTATGGCTTTCAGATCTAAGTTGCTAATCTAAAAGTAATCAGGGAAATCTGAAATGGATCTGAGAAATCAAGGTTTAACTTTTAAACATAAAAAACCCTTTTAACTCTAAGATTTATCTTTACATACACCTATCATGTTGTCTGTACTCTTTCTGCCTCTACCCTACTCTTAAAAATGTAAAAAACTGAACTAACTATGAAAGAGAAAGCAGAACATCCCATGCACATTCCCATAGGTATGTCTCAAGGGGAAAAAAAAAAATCAAAAAAAAGGAGTGGTGGTCATGTCAACACTTATCCTGAAAACTTCCAGTAAAAAAAAAAGGAAACAAAGCTGAAGAAGTTACAGAAGAGAAACTTCCACACAAACTACTTGCAAGCTACTGGGGGAAAAAAGAGTTACTTTCTAGGGTCACAAGCAAGTTAGTATTGACAACATGAGCTGGTTAATTTGTAAATTAGGCCACAGACTGCAAGTCAGAAAGTTAAAATTCACTCCTATAAATGCACAGATTGCCAGATTTGTATGCTATTCCTAAGAGTTTTCAGGGTTCGAATTTTGCAGCCTTGCTCTCAAATAAAAGAACACATGTTTAGAAGAGAAGTGAAATCCTTCAGAATTGCATGCAATGAAAAAGATTATTTTTAAAGCCTGAAAGGTCTAAGAAGCCACTGAAGCCTAAAATTACACTCTAGCTTCACAAAGAAATCAAAACAGTAAACATATTAAGGAGAACATCTTACCACTTCTGTCTGTGATGCTGTGGGAAAGAAAAAAGTTGCACTTTCAGAAAAAGGCACTGAACTTACAAGGCAGATACTTACTCCAGTTTTCTTCAGTAACTGCAGATATTCTGCATTTACTCCAATCTCAAAAGAGTTAAAAACATGCCAGTTCTACCACTGGTATTTTTTATGACACTACCTTTTAATGAAGACTTCAATCAGCAATTTGTGCAAAAGAACAATTGTAATATAAAAGCATGTTCTGATCAACAGAAAGAACAATTTTTCCATTACCTTCCCTTGCTTATCAGAAACCTAAACAGACCTTTTTTAACGAAAGCAACATCGCAGCAAACAAAAGTTTTAAAAATCACTTCCCCCAAGTCTGTACTAGGTTTATCATCCATCCACAGGACTAGCACAAAGTTCTCATCAAACTTGTATCTCACACCGGGAAAATCCAGTCGGGGAACGAGATGGAATCTTAGCATAAAAATTCACTCACACGACCTTAAATATACTTTAACACTTCTATCTGATCTCCTCCTCTAAATAGTTCTTCCTAAAATATTTCAGATTAAATGTGTCTGAAAAGAAACAAAGTTCCTCTTTGCTTATTTTATAACGCATACTGCTAAAAAGAAATGGGGATTACAAAAAAAGAATATTAAGTCATAATTAAGAAACCAGCTACTGTTTTTTTTCCGTTTTTTTTTGGTGTTTGTTTTGCTGGTGTATGAGAGAATTAAGAAAATGGCTCAAAAAAAGAAAAGAAAGGGATGAATATTCAGGATAAAACAAGATGACTGAGCTGAACCACTCAAAACACTGCAAAAAGTAATTATGACATTACAGAAAAATATGTATTAAGAGGGCAGAGAAAGTGGCCACCCAAGACAAATCTTCACAAGTAAGACCACGCATGCCAATCACTTACCTAATTTCCCCAAATAAAAAAAACAACCTTGCAAAAACTTATCGTGAAGCAGTCAACATGAAGCAGACAACATGACTCGTGCAAATGCCCCGTTCTCCAGTGCGCATCACAACAGAGGAGGGAAAAATTACCATAGGTGGAGGTAAAAAAAAAAAACCCCAAACCACTAAATCAGTAATTCTGTTATACTTCATTAAAAGCCACAAGCACTGCAGCTGAGTTAACTGTGGAGCTGTAAAATAAGGGAGCAACAATTAGCCCCACAGGGACCCTCCACAGGAATCAAGGAGTAAAATCCTCAGATTTCCACCTCTTTCCACCTTAATACTTCTCAAGACTTGAAAACTTATTCTGATGTTGTTTTTAGAAGGCAAGCTGACACATGCTCCTATAGGTAAAAGCAGTTAGCAGTTGTGTACGAAAACGAGTTAAAATTTGTTATGATTGTCTGAGTTTTACCCGTTACAGCTAAATACTACATTAAAAACCTACTAATGTGCCAGTAAATGTGAAGTATAAGTGTTAAGATGTACTCCAAGAGAAACAAGAGAATATTTTTTTAAAAAAAATTCTTTTGTTCAAAGTAAGAGGTAAGTTGTAAGTCTCTGAAAAACATGACACAACTTCAAAGCACTGGGCGTATCAAATGCTTTATCAAGTAAATGTGTTTTTTCTTACCATTTAGTGTTTCTTCACATCTTTTAATCCAAATAGTAAAGGTATCATCTACATCTAGAAGAGATCAAACACAGTAACATTAAAACTTCAAGCACTACACGTATTGCATAAAGAACAATTCCTCAATCGTCAATTGGAAAAAATCCATCCCAAACTCACTGATTTACTTAAAAAAAATGTATTATTTCCTATAATCTTCTTGTAACCTCTGTCATTTAAGCTTTAAGTATTTTTACACAACTCCATTACTTAACTCTGTTATATTTAATTAACTTAAAATTAATTTGTAGGACACTAGATTTTGTCTGAACTGACCCAGATACACTATTTCCTTCTTGTCTGCTCAAACCCTCTAGAACTGTTTGGGAAGCACCACTTTTCTGTTACCCTTAAATTTATTTTTTTCAAACAGTCATGTGCTTCCTCTTTAGAGAAATATCAGAAGAGACTGTCTGCTCTGAGGACAACCCAAAGTTGCAGAAGTTTTCACAAACATCGAGGATTTTCTCCTGGTGTGTTTGTAAAGTTTGTGTGAAACCATCTACACTTTCAGGGATGTCAGAAATACACAGGTGCCAATTCCTCCCTACAGATCAAATCTCAGAAAAGTTAGGTACTTGATACTCTAGGATGGCTGCTTCTCAAAGAGAAATGAGTTTACTGGAAAAATAGCTCAAGAGGTAGAAGCATAATGACAGAGTAATCACCTTATTCCAACAAAATTGCCAGAAAAATCTGTCACAGTCAGGAAAGTAAAAAAGTGGCAACGTTACTGACCAACTACTAAGAATAGCTCGACTTTTTATCTTTTTACAAGAGAGAATTCACACTGAGGGAGTTCACTCAGCCAACTATCCCACAGAGGGCTTGAAGAGACCTGACAAGAGTTCCCAGCAGACGTGTGTGGAACACCAAATGTGACTCCACTGCAGCTATTCAAAGCATGAAGCCCCATCCCTTCAAATGTAAAATGTACATAAAATTTAACGTGTGTCTTAGGTCGTAAACTTGCTACCCCACTCCTCCAGCTATTTTCTCTTGCCTTTTCTTTCACCATTCATCTTAAAAGTTATCTAAATTTTAGGTTACAGAACATTTATGTAATCTCTCGATCACTTAGGAAAAGATAAAAATGCAAATAATAATGCAGCTGTCTTGACATTACAGGACAACCCCTGACTGCTGCGGTCTTTTCTATATTCCTTGCAAATCCCAGAAAGAAAATACCTATTTTAAGGTGGAATTAACCAAAATTAACTATCAGAGACTTATGTTGGGGGATCCAGGGGCTGTCTTCAATTACTTAATGTATTCTTAAGGTATTCAGATGACTGACCATAGACCGTCCTCAGAAGTACGTGGGGAAAGGTAGCAAAGCAAATGACCCAAGATGCAATGAAATAAGTTCTGATGATCAGAAAAGGGAATTTTTGTTACTAAAAGATGTCAAACACCGGAGCAGGTTACCAAAAGGGGCTATGGAATCTTCAGCCTTGGAGATACTTGGAAATCAACAGTAGAAGGACACGAGCAAACACATGCAAATTTAAAGTTAGTACTGCTTTTGGCCAGGGCAAGGAATTGGATGAGCTCCACAGCTTCCCTGCACCCTAAATTAATCTGTAATTTTAAAACTGCACTCATACTCTAACAAGGCTTCCAATTGCTGCAGTCAAGAATGAAGTTTATTAATTGAAAGTGAAATTCAATTAAGTAGGTTCAAGAGTTTAAGGGAAGAGAATCCAAGTCAAGTCTCCACTGACCCCGCCTCTGACTTCCAGCAGCAGGTAAGGAATTCTCTTTGTAGCTACGGCCTACGACAGGATTGCCACATGCAACACAAACTCTAAAAGTCCAGTGTTACCTTCTCTTTTTCCTAGAAGATTCTCCCTCCTGCT